AATTGGCACATCAAGTTAAAACTGGAATTTTTCCCTCTTGCTATATGTTGTTGGCTGGCAGAAACGTTTACAAATCTCGTTTTTATCATTTTTCTCCAGTTTGAGCGCAATTTTTATTTATCAATAATTATTCGGTAATCACCATTTTGCATTTGCAAACCTTATTAGTCACATTAAATATTAACTAAGTATTTTAGAGGCTCTACCTTTATCTGCATCCAGGCCTTTATCATTTTCACTAGATTATCTTCGTTCATCAGGCATAGGCATAAAATACTAGGAAACTTATTTAAATATCTTTAGCTGATATATACAAGTGACCCTTTGAATCTCGATTTAATTACACTGCTTGCTATAGTTGTTGTAAATATAACACCATCTTGGTGTTCATATTTCTGATTGACTATTGTTATTAATTAAAATGTTTCGACTCAAACACTTCATCCAGTGAACCTGGTGACTGGTGTCTGGTGCCTGACCCAGACCGCTTAGCCTCATCGACTACTCTAAGATTGATAGTAGTATGATGTAAGGAGACATTTAGAGCGCATCATTTACACGACGGTGCATCCAATTTGAATAGCCAATTGTCGATACAAATGCCTCCTGAGCAGAGCCGCAAGTGGACCGACCGTCAGCGCCATCCTGTTGCTCTCCAGCCAGTCGGCAACTGGGTTCAAGTCCAGTTTTGAGCGTGTTCTTGTCCGACGGTCCACTCGCGGTCGGTTTGCTGTCGAGCATCCGTCTCGGAGCAGTCTCGGGAGTCACCGTTTCAGGAAAGCCGCGACAAGGAAACGTGTAGTTGCCTCGAAAAATGTTATTTTCTCACTTTACTTTATTGGAAATTCTTACGGCATCATAACGTCAGGACAGTACAGCAGACTACAGTTTGAGGGGGTCATCGGCAGCCGAGGCGACCTCGACTGGAGTGGTACTGGAGCAGCTGCATCCATTACGAGTCGTTGCCTCATCCATTTTAAGTCGCTTCAGATGCGGGCAGAAGTGATTATTAAGTTTTTTACGATACACGAAGGAGAATTGGACTACTCCGGAGGCAAGTAAACGAGTAAACGATACGAAACCCAACTTCACCACAAGTCAATGGTGGAGTAGAGCCTCGCTCTAAATGTACGTAAGGTCAACTATGGTCGGCGACATTTACATTCTCACCTTGAGAAATTATTCAACTAAAGTGGTTAGCTTTTTTAAAGAAAGTTCTTCAAATGACATCAACCAACTACTCATAATAGAAAGAGTAGTGCCCGGCAGTCAAAGCATAAAATGTGGCCTCGACGTGCAACCAGTTCGACGGGGCATGGCGCCGCTTTTGCCGCTTCAAACAAAACCCAAATGTC